CGGCTGCGCTGGGTGCCGCTCGCCGCCCCGAGGAGGCCCATGTCGTTTTGGCGCTCGCGGAGGCGGGCCCGCGGCGCTGGCCGCGCGCTACGCGCGCCGACTGCGCGCGTCGACGCCAAGACTGCGCGCGCGAAGGGCTTCGAGGGCGCCCTCGTCGGCCTCGCCCTGGTTTCGCGCGGGGCGGTGAACGGCGCCCCGGACCACGTGAGTAAACAGTGGCCCAACGACGGGACGTCGCCACTCCTGGTTTGCCGCCCCCCCCCCTGCCGCGGGAAGTCCTGGACTGCGCCTTTCGCCGCCCTGGCGGCCAGGTCCAGATGGCGCTGCGGCGGCTTGCGGGCGAGGAGGTCGCTCGCGGTGAGTTCGCGGCCGTGGCCCGCGTCGGCGCCTTCGAGTTCCTCTTCTCCGTCGCGGGCCATAGAAACAATGGCCATAATAATGGCGCAATCTACGTCGGCCAGGCGCCGATGGCCATGGCGGGCGCGCGCGCTGGCTTCGGCGCGCAGTCGGGCGAGAGCGTCGAGAGCTTCGCCGCAGCCATGAAGGAGCGATTGCCCCCCGCCGTGCTTGGGCAGGCAGGCCCGGGTGCTTTTCTCGGATGCGCCGATTGAGAAAATGCATGATCGCTTGTTGAATTGTCTCGGCATCGCGCAGGACAGGCTGAGCGTGGCCCCGCGGGCCGTGCAGTGCGCGGACGGGAAGAGAACATCCTGCTCATTTGAGCTGCTGCAGCGCACGGGGAAGTCATCTTGCCCTCTCGGCGGGCCCGAGGAAAACCCGTCCACGGAGATCTACCGCGGCCTTCCGATCGCCGAAGTGGATTGGGATGACGCCCGGCCGGCGCTGGAGCGCGACGGCAAAGATTGGTCGCCCTTTTGTGACCACCCGTTCGCTTCCAACGCAGAATGCGCGGCCGAGCTGAAGCGCGTCGCGCAGATGCGCGACGACCCCATGGGCCGCCGGAGCGCCAAAAGTGCGCCCCTCCACCATGCGGCATTCGGAAACTCCCGTTACCTTCGCAACAGCTCGGTGATCGCCCGGCTTTCGCGCGGGCAGCCGATCGCCCAGGGCGCGCCTGAGGGCGAGGCTGAGCACGGGAATGTGAAGCGGTGGGGCTCGCGCGTCTGGCCGCAGCGCGAGGACCGCGTTCGCGTCGACGAGGAAGTCCACGCCCCCTACCGCTTGCTGGTGCACGCCGCCCAGCGCGAGCCCCACGGAGCGCGGCTCCCGCCCCTGCGGCTGGCTCAGGTTTTGCCCGGCCAGATTGCCGCAGGCGGGTTCTGGGGCGGAGGCTCGGCGCCCGCGCCGCCGCCGCGGGCGGGCCCGCCGCTGGCGACGGCGGGGCGCCAAGGGCTCGAGGCTCCCATCGTGGAGGAGGGCCGGGCTCTCGCAGAAAAACAGAGTTTGGGGCAGAAAAAGAGGGCGGCGGCGCGGGGCAAGATGGCCAAGAAGCATGCCCGCAAAAGCAAGATCGCTTGCAAGAAGGCCGTCAGGAACCCGATGAGGGCCCGCGCCGCGGTCGAGGACGACCTAGGTCTCCAGGTGTAGGATTCTTTAGCAATGCGTCTCTGACAGTGGCCTGCCATGCCTCCTGTTTGGAGGTTTCTACTCAGTGATAGCTCCACAACGGCGGGCCGTTTTTGCTCCAGTGGGCTGAGCTTGGCGATGGGCGTCGCTTTGTTATTGGCATTACCTGTGGTCTTGTGGCGAGGACGAGCGAAAGCATCATCGCCGTCACCTTCATCACCAACGCCATCAGCGCGCATCGTCGCCAAACTGCTTGCAAGACGGTGAGATGAGAGACGGAAGGGGAGAGAGAGGAAAGGAGAGAGACGGGGAACACAATATACGGTTAGGGGGTGAAAGGCTTGATCCATTATCGGGGCAGTTTTGGTTCATTCTGGAAGGGCTAGATGGCCTAGGTGGCCCAGATGTTTAGACGGGGCGGCTAGGCCGAATGGTTTAGGGCCAGGATTTTCACGGGGAGGGGGAGCTGGGCTGGCTGGGGGGCGGTGCAGTGCCGGCGCAGTGCGTGCGCGCCGAAATTACATGGTCGGGGCGGAGGGGGCGCGCCGGCTAGGGGGAGAAGGGGAGCTGGGTTGACTGGGGGGGGGCGGTGCAGGTGTCGCGCGTGCGTGCAGACAAAAATGGCCGGGGCGGAAGAGGCGCGCTGGCCGGGGGGACAGGGGGAGCGTGGCTGGCTGGGAACGTGTGGGCGGTGCCAGTATCGTGCGCGCGTGGTGAATGAAAGTGGTCGGGCGGAGGGGGCGCGTTGGCTGGGAATTAAGACGGGAACTGGGCTGGCTGTGGGGGCGGGGGCCAGTGCCGTACGTGAGTGCCGAACTAGAGTTATCAGGGCGGAAGGGGCGCGGTGGCTTGGGTGGCGGGGGAGGGGGGCTTGGGCTGGATGGGAGGGGGTGGGCGGTGCTTGTGCCGTGCGCGCGTGGCGAAACAATGCGGTCGGGGCTGAGGGTGCCCGGTGGTTGGGGGGAGAGGGGGAGCAGGGCTGGCTGGGACGGGGGTGGGCGGTGCTGGTGCCTCGCATGCTCTAGAACGCCCTTTGCAAGATAATGAAGGGCTCCGAGGCCTAGAACACAACTGTCCAAGATAATAAGGGGTTCCGCGAAAGGGTTCCGAAGCCCAGGGGCCAGAACCACAGCACGGCCACGGCCACGGCCACCACGAAGATAATGGGCTCCGAGCTCTAGAAGATACTCTGACGCGAGGCTTAGGGGACCAGGGCCACGAGCCCGGAGAACACGGCCGCGGCCACGGCCACGGCCACCACCACTACCACAAAATCAAAGATTCCGAAACCCAGAGGCTAGGGCCACGGCCACGGGCCAATCAACCATGGCCACGGTGACGACCAACATGAGAATACATGATTCAAGGGCTGGGGCGAGGCCCGCGAACCCTGGCAGAGGCTCCAACCACGGCGACCACGACAATAAAAGGCACCGAGGCTTCAAACTTCAGGTCTCGAGGGGTTGGGAGGAGCCCAGGAGCCACGGTCAGGGGGCCAGGGGAGCGACGACCTCGGCCACGGCCACGGCCACGGCGACCACGACAATAAAGGGCTCCGAAGATTGAACACTCAGGTCTCTGGGGGCTGGTGCAAACCAGGGTGCCAGGGCCCGACGACCTCGGCCACGGCCACGGCGGCCACGGAAATACAGGGCTCTGGTTTTTCGAGCGCGTGTGTGTTGGAGGGCGACATTGAACTGGTGGAGTGGTGGCCCCAAGGGATCCCACCGCAGGGGGTGCTTGAATTCTGGGGGGGGGGCGCGGGGGGGTTGTCTGACAGCCCCGATCGTGTAAGGATGGACGACCCACGCGGTGTCAGAATCCAGCGAACAGGTCGTCCTGACGCGAGCATGTCTGAGGTAACATCGCTGGTTGGGGGGTGAGATCGCAGTGGAAAGGAGAGCCGGCCCCCACCGGGAACTCGGTTTCGATTCCGTGTTCGTGTCGTGCGTGCGGGCGAGGCGAAGCTGCGTGGGCGCGCAAGACGGATGACGCCGCCGTCGCTAGGGCGATTCGGATGCAGTGGACCGTCCCGCCGCCCCTGGTGGGCGCGCGGTGGCCGGGGGGGGTTCCGCCGTGGTGTCCTGTGTCCTGTGGTGTCCCGTTGGTGTCCCGTCGGTGTTCCGTCGGCGGTGGGCGGGCGGTGGTGAAGTCGGTAGTGAGATCTATAATTTGATCGCTCGAACGGGATGAATAGGAATATCACAGGTGAGATCGACAGTGATACTGATTGTGACATTGGTCGTGAGATCTATAGTGAGATCGATCGAGTGTGATCGATTTTGTGAGGTCGATAATGGGATCGATCGAATGAGATCGAAAACGGGTTCGATAGTGACAGTACATCGCAGCATAGCATCGTCATCACGCGTAGTCGCTAACTCGATGGCGCGTTACTAGCATCATCATCATCATCATCATCATCATCATCATCATCATCATCATCATCATCATCATCATCATCATCATCATCATCACACCCATCGCATTTGCCAGCAGTTGGTTCTTTCCCCCCACCCCCCAACCTCCTTGTCACCCGAAGGATGGTCGTATAGGTCGAATATGGTTGCGCTTGATGGGGCTCGTCATTAAGCATGCAGCGAAGCCACCCTTCGATCCGTGGAATTTTTGCGCGCGCGGCGCTACCGGGGCCCATCGGGGGGACCCAGGGGGAAACAGGGGGGGAACGAGATGGGGAGGGAAGGGGAGGAACGAGAGAGAGAGAGAGAGAAAGCGAGAGAGGAGAGAGAGAGATAGCAATCAATCGAACTGAATCGTCATTGTGCTTCGCGGGTTTGTGGGGCTCCCCAGGCTTCGTCGCGCCAGAGGGTCCCAACACGGCTCCGAAGGCTCGCAAGAAGGTCTCATGACGATGCAAGAGTGCCCCGAGTCTGCCCAAGACGGATTCGAGAAGGCCCAAGATGCTCTCAAGAATGGCATGGTAGGGCCCAAGACAGTCCAAGATGTTCTCACGACTGCACAGACATGCACCCGAGGCGCCCCCAGATGGCTCCACAAGGACCTCCAGGAGGGCCCCGAGAAGGTAAAACAGTTGTTTCCACAAAGGTTTGGGAAGGATGTCGAAGTACTCGCGCTTTCGAGCATCTTCTAAGAAGCCCTTCTAGCTCCGAAGAAGCCTTATCAGAAGTCTCTGGGCCCCTCTGAAAGTGCCCCTGCCTGCTGAGAAGGCCACCCAGCCGTCTTAGAAGGCACCCCCGCCCCCTTGTACTTCCCCCTTCCTTGAGATCCGACCTCATTGAAAATGCATCAGCGCAAACAATGACGACCAGAGCCTTCTCTTTCTGCTGCCCTTTTCGAGCCAGGTCGATCCGTGATGGTCCTGGGGCCCGACGTTTGGCGCAAACGCCCGTGTGCGCAGCACAGATGCAACGCCCAGATCTCAGGCTTTCTTGAGTCGCCCATTTCGATGTGGGGTCCGCCCTTGCCCTGTCTGCCCTCCGCCGCCCCAGAAGGCCCGTGGACTCGCCGGCGCCAGCGCCCTCGAAGGCCAGGTCGAGTGGAGGCGCGGGGCTCCAGGCTCGGGTCGAGGCGGCGCGGGGCCGGCCGGGCCTGCCGCGGTGCCACCGAGCGCGTTCCATTGCCCGCAAAGTGCCTACTCGCAAACTTCAGAAGAGCACATGTCTTCCTCGATGTCAAGTATCGTAGATCCCCCCATGGCCATGGCGGATGCAGGCCATGTGCGAGTGGTTACTTTGCGAGTAGTGCAAGGCGCCTGTCTGGCGGTGGGCGGGACTTCTTTTCAGGGGAGGGCCAGTCATGGCAACGGTCTGGCCTGCGCTGAGACATAATCACTTCATCGATGGGGTCGCGGGCGCGCGAAAGGCCTTTCCGCGCGCACGCGACCAGATCGACTTCACTCGGATCTTGCGTTGCGGAACACTTGCGCGACGTATTGGAATTTCCAGGGGAGTCGGCACGATGTCTGATGGTACGGAATCATCGTCGCGGGGTGTTGGTGGAAATCGGATGAGGATAGTCAGCTTGGCCGTAGGGTCCCTGGCTAAGCGGCCGTTTAGCCTGGTATGAGGGTTCGGCACTCACTGCCCTGAGGACCTCACGGTAGAGTCGAATGAATACCCAGCAGTGCCAAGCAATGACAAGCAGTGCAAAGCCAATGCATGCAAAGCCATGTCAAGAAACGCACAGCAATGTAATGCAGCGCGTAGCAGCGTAGCAAGTCTGAGCAATGCAAATCGCCAAGCATTGTAAAGAAATGGCAAGCAGTGCCAAACAATAACAAGCAATGCCAAGCAATGCCAAGCAACGCCAAGCAACCCAAAGCAACGCAAAGCAATGCAATGTCAAGCAAATCAATGCACTGTCAAGCAATGCCAAGCAATGCCCTTCAACGCCGCTTAGGAAGCGTTCCCCTAATTTGGGTTGCGACGGGTTCATGTTTGAAGAAGCCAGTAGGTGCTGGACCCGGTCGCGCCAGGATTCCACGGTCTTGTTTCAAACGGGATCCTCAGAGTTTCCCAGTCTTAACTTGTTTCTTTGCAGTGACGTTCCCCTGGGTCCCCCGGGTTTCCTGGGTCCTTTTGGTCTTCTTTCTTTCCTGTGTTTGAAAGGCCAGCCTTCGTCGCGTTCCTCGAGGTTCCCCAGGTTCCCTTTGGTCTTGTTTCTGCTCTGTTTTGAAATGTCAGCCCTCCTCGGGTTTGCTGGGTACCCCTGGTTCCCTTCTCTTGATTCCTTACGGTCTTTTGGAGCAATGCCGAGAGGCGCGTAGAACTGTTAAGTGACGCAAAGCGATGCCACGTAAGGTCAAGCAATGCCATCCAATGCCAAGCAGAGCCAAGCAGAGCCAAGCAAAACCAAGCGATGCCAAGCCGAGCAATGCAAAACCAAGCAATGCAAAACAATGCCAAGCAACGCAAAGCAGAACCAAGCAATGCCAAGCAATGCAAACAACTGCCCAGCAATGCCAAGCAAAAACAACCGTTACCCAGCAACGCCAAGCAATGCACAGCAACGCCAAACATTGCTAATAAATGCCAATCATATCAACTCCAAGCAATGCCAAGCAATGCCGCTTAGGAAGCGTTCCCCTGATTGGGGCCGCGCCGGGTTCATTTTGAAGAGGCTTTCCTCTGGCTCCTGGGCTCATGGGTCCTGTTTCCTTGCAAGGCTTTCCTCGGGTTCTCTGGGTCCCTTAGTCTTGCTTCCTTCCCTCTTTCCTCAACCACCCCGCTGTGTTGGGGAATCGTTGTGGAGAGAGCGCCCCGCGTGCACTCCTTCCTGCACCTGCCTCCTCCCTGCTGCCATCCCTGCCCCAGCCGTCCGCATGTCCATGCCAGCACGGAGGAGGAGGAGGAGGAGGAGGAGGAGGAGGAGGAGGAGGAGGAGGAGGAGGAGGGGGAGGAGGAGGAGGAGGAGGAGCAGGAGGGGGAGGGAGAGGGAGGAGCAGGAGGAGGAGGAGAGGAGGAGGAGGAGGAGGAGGAGGGAGGAGGAGGAGGAGGAGGAGGAGAAGAGGACTCCTCCTCCTGGTCCCATGTCCGTGCCAGCACACCACTCGCACGTTTCGTGGCGCCGTGTGGAGCTCTAGCTACAAGGCCCCAGGGGCCGGGGGTGGGGGGGGGCATGCGGTCCCCCGGCCGAGCTCGGCGCGCTCCTGACACCTTTCGTGGCCCCAAGGGGGGTGGGGGGGTGAGGGTCGCAGGCGGTCCATCAGCCCATTTCGGTCACACGTTTCGTAATCCTCCTCCTCCTTCTGGATCCTCCTCCTCCTCCTCCTCGATCCTGCTCCTCCTCCTCCTCCTCCTCCTCCTCCTCCTCCCTCCTCCTCCTCTCCTCCTTCCGTAGCCATTTTGGCTCAAGCCATTTTGGCTCAAGGTACCCATGTCGCCCTGCGGCCGCATGGATACCGCTGGTCCGCGGCCAGTCCACGGTGTTTCTCCTCGCCTTCACGGAGGGAGTTGGGCGCCCTCATTCATTGCCCTCCCACCGTCCCGCGGTCTCGATCATATTCTCTGTGGCGTGCCATGGGCGGATCAGCGAGGCGGTCGAAGAGGGAGAAGGAACGGCGTCGGAGGCGCCGCGAAAGTGATCATGATGTGTCTGTCTCTTCTGTGTCTGCTGGTTCCTCTGGCTCTGACAAGCCCAGTCGTGAGCGCTCAGAAAGAGGTGACCGACGCCGACGCCCGCCACGCAGTGCCTCTGATGGTCTACGACAGAGCCAAGACCATGAAGCCCCTGAGGTCTCTCGGACTCCCTCCCTGCCGTCTGCGAACCAGAGTATGGCGGATGCGGTCCTCGAGATGGAACGGGATGGCGTACGGCTCTCGCAGGTTCCCACATTCCCGCCTTCGCAGCAGCGTGTTGATCCGCATGACCCTTGGGCTAGGGCTGCAGCCGATGCGATTCTCACTCCTCCTGCTTTCCCTCATGCACAGGTGGAGGGCACAGCGACGCCACGAGATGACATCACTCCTACGATGCCTGCTGGACATGGTGAGGGAGCCGAGGGTGGTCCTGAATGGGCTACCTATGTTTCGCAGGTGGTTGCTTCTCAGCTGCAGGCGCACGCGGCGAACATCACTGCGCAAGTCCAGAATGCTGTTGCCACCACTCTGCAGCAAGCCCAGGGCACGATCATCTCGCAGCTCCAGGCCCACCTCGCCCCGACGATGCAGAGGGTTGACGGACGCGACCTGGCCATTGGCGACCTTCAGAGGAAGCAGCTCGCCATGGAGGACGCCCAGAAAGAGATGCGCGCAGACATCAAGCGGATCAATAACCGCTTGGCACTATCGGAGGAAGAACACTCAGTGGTGGACATCGCCCGTCTCCCGGGCTTTGACAGAGATCCCTACCCCACGATCTTCACGATCAACGCTCCCGATGATGTTGCTCCCGACGAAGTGCGCGGAGCCATCGCATCTTGGATCAGCGACGCCAAGCTTGATGCGGAGGATGCAGTGCTGCGCGGACGGGGACCCAGCAGACGGTTCGTCTTGGAGGTCAAAGGTGGTGCGACAGGTATCTCTAAGGCCATCACCTTGGCCAAGGCTCTCCGCTTCCCCTCGGGGGAATGGAGGAGGTTCTCGGCTAGGCAGCTTTCTGGGGCCACTGGTCCTTTGTGCGTTGGCCCCGACAAAGCCCCCAAGCAGATCAGACGTGAGCAGCAGTCCAAACGATTGGCCGCTATCGTTCAGGAGAAGATGCCCAACAAACGCTGGTGGGCTACCAGAGCAGGAGGCTTGGTGCACATCGAATGTCAGCCGCTGGTTGAGGTGGTGGTCAGAGGTGCCAGCGAGCCTTCAAGACTTGCATGGAATCAAGCAGTGGTCGCCCAGCACCAAGTGGACGTGGCGGGCATCACGGCTGCCTTCAATCGTGCCTTCGAGACGGTGGATACCAGTTCCTGGTCGTGGTCCTGACCAATGGGCTCAGCCGTGGCGGATTGAAACGCTTGAGAAGGGTTCTCGACAAGAGGTCAGGGCCGTCTCATGGAATGCCAGAGGCCTGTGTGGACTCAGCCCCAAGGGGCGCAGGAGAGCTCTATGTCGCTCGAAGCTCAAGAGGCTCGAACCCTTTCTTCGCATGCGAGCGGTCGTTCTACTTCAAGAAGTGCATGGATCTGAATATGACTTACGCTTTTTGTCGAGGCAGTTTCCTTATGAGTACCGAACTTTTTTCAGCGCAGCTTCGTCACCTGGGAGAGGAGGTGTTGCGATTTTGATTCCATGGTACAAGGAGGCGGATCTCGAGAAGCTCCCCTCTGGTGTTACCCCGTCCTTTCTGCCCCGATGTGTGGTTCCTGGGCGCATCCTCTCTCTACAAGTCCGAGGTGCTGGTCAAGCCGTTCACATTTTGAATGTGCATAACTTTGATTTGGACGCCCAGGCGCGCCAGGCGGCGCGAACCTTGTGGAGGCGTGCGGCTGCGTGGGCCCAACAAGATGAACGGCGTCGTTGCTTCATTGCCATGGGCGACTTCAGCGTGGCGGATGTCGCCCCAGACTCCCTTCTGCGGCCTGCGGCTCGGCGTGATGTGGAAGTTCGTGGACAACAACATCAACCATTCTGGCGTGCGCTGTTTGACTTTCGCACGGTGGAGGTGGTCTCTGGCGTGCCGACACACTTCTGCAAGCGCACCCAGACATGTTCGACCATTGATAGGCCTTTTATCTCGCGAACGCCACCTTTCATTCTCGAAACGGAGGTCACGCTGTCGGCACAACAGGAAGCAACGCGGCTGTCTGACTGGCATCTCAGTGATCATGCTCTGCTTCTTCTACAGCTTCGACCGAGAGGGAAGAAATCACCGACGGAGCGTTCGATTCCCGATTATGTCTTTCGTGTGCCCGGGTACAAGGTTGAGCTGAACAAATACCTGGCACACACCGACTGGACTGGCTGCTCTGTGGCTGAGCGTTGGTCTGCCACCAAAGATTTCATGATCAGAGCAGCGGCGCGTGTGCGCAACCTGCTCCACCAGCTGCCTCTGGATACCTCGCGCGATGGGGCTGAAGACTCGAGGAGGATCACGCTTCGTAGTATTGCTCGGGCCATTTGGCAGCAGGATTCTCATCTGGCATCGTTGCTCCGACATAATACTGAGTGCGGCCAGCGGTTCCTGTATGTGGACAATGGTGCAGTCTCTCTTTTGAATTCCTCTGAGTTCGCTGAGACGGTCATTCGGACGAACGCTGAGTGGCATGAGCGGCTCCAACGCCACGCGGCTGCCCAGGCGCTTCGTTGTGATTCTCAACGTCGCGAGCCTGCTGAACTGTCCCGGGAACAGTGGAGGAAGATACAGAGGACTTCAGCGAGGAGGGCCCGCCTATGGAGTGACTCGCGCCGCCAGCTTATTCTGAACGGTATCAGGCACAACTCGTCTGGCCACTCCACGATGCCTCCTGCAGTTGCAGACGTTATCTGTTCTCCACATGTGGACCCCCAAGAGCAGGTGATACGACTCAGTACTCAGCAGTCATCGGGGGAGCGTGTCCTGACGCGGATGGGAACCTCGCTTTCTTTCACTGCGAAGTCTGAGTCTTGCATATCTGAGGCATCCCTTCAAGCCGCTGTATCGGACTCACCTGGTGGTCGGACTGCTGCCACGGGCAGGAGCGACCTTAATGTCGGCCGCCCCGCGCCTCGTGAGTCTACGGTTTCAGCGGCCGCTGTAGGGATGCGCGGGGGGAGTCTTCAAGCCGCTGTATCGGACTCGCTTGGTGGTCGGGCCACGCCTGCGGGCAGTGGCGACCTTAATGCCGGGCCCTCCCCTGGGACCGCGCCTCGCGAGCCTGCGGTTTCAGCGGCCGCTGTTGGCTCTTCTGGCCGCTCTTCTACTACGTCGTCCTCGCTATCGGTCTCTTCTTCTTCGTGTTCACTGGCGAGTGGATTCTTGACGGATTCTGAGGTGTGTGAGGAGTTGCATGTCCAACCTGAGGCTTATATTTCTGCTGGGCATACGGGTTCTTCGGATGGTGCGACTGCCCGCGGAGCGGTGGACATGGCATCTGCGCTTCAACGCCACTGGGCGGAGGTGTTCAGAGCGAAGAAGTCTCCGTCTCGCGATGTTCTCCATGGTTATCTTTGTGTTCATCTTCCTGTCTACCCTGCGCCTGAGCTCAGGCCGCCATCGATCGATGACCTCAGAGCTGCCCTGCGCAAGGGCAAACCCAGTGCGCCTGGCCCAGACAGGCTGCCCTACCGTGCGTGGCTGGCCCATGATGATGCGGTGGAGACTCTTTATCTGGTCATGTTAGATATGTTCAGCGGTATTGGCTGCCCATCGGGCTTCAATCATCACTTGTTGTGCTTCATTCCGAAAGATGAGCGGCCAGAGGACCTGATCGATCTTGCGCGGGCTCCTGAAGAGCTAAGGCCGCTTGCCCTGAAGAACACGGACTCAAAGGCCATCGCCAGTACCATTAATGTTCAGTTACGCACCATTGCGGAACAGAGATGCCACCATGTCCAGCGCGGCTTTGTCCGTGGAAGACAGCTTACCACCCACATCGCGGAGCTCGACACGTATGCGCGCATGGCTGGTGGACATATGTATGCGAGTGACCTCAAACCTGTCTTCATTTCGTTTGATGTATGTGCTGCCTTTCCATCGATGAGCTGGGTGTGGATTCAGATTGTACTGGACTATCATAAGATCGCCACGGGCTTTCTCATGGCCACTCGAGCACTGTATCATGATATGCAAAGCTGGACTTGGTGTGGTGAGTCCTTGCAATTTCTCTTTCATGTATCGGCGGGGGTGGCCCAATGCTGCCCACTTTCTGGTTCCTTATGGGCGTTGACGTTTGACCCCTTCCTGCACCATCTGTGCAATGGCAATGTGGAGGGCTACGGAAGTGTGAAGGCAGCTGATGGGTTCGATGTTGGCAATACTGGCTACCCGATGGCGACTGGCCCTGGTGAGATGGCGCCTTTGATTGCTGGATCATGTGCGGATGACGTTGGTGTGGTACTACCTGCACTGAAGGAGGTGACGCGCGTTGCGCCCGTGTTTGCAGCTGCACAGGAGTTGGCGCACTTGCGCCTGCAGAGCAAGAAATGTTTCGTCGTGCCGCTGTGGACCCGTGCATCCCCTGAGGTGCACGACCTAGTCGGGTCCCGCCTTCGGTCTTTTGCTCCGGCCTTTTCGGCCTTTCCCATCAGGGGCCGTGCCAAATACCTGGGGATGCAGTTCGGTCCCGAGGCCACGCTCGAAATGCAGTGGGAAGCGGCAAGCACGAAGCTCGCACATCGAGCGCGCCTTGCTGCTTCGACGCGGGCGCCTGCAGAAGCATCTGCGCGGCAGTACAACTCCTGCTCTCTTCTGGTCCTGTCTTACCTCGTTCAGTTCTTTCCCCTCCCCTCCTTCTTCCTCCGGAGGGATCAATGGCTGCTGCACAAGCTCCTGCGGCTCCCCCCAAACACGTTTAAGCGTGATGAGATCCTAAGCCTTCATCAGTGGTTCCCTGGATCGGCGCCTGCGGCGATGGCGGTTCTTGGTCGTTCTGCTGCGTGGCGGCTCGGGCTTCACACGTGGACGAAGGCCAAGGATTTCACACTTCTCTTGAGAGAATGGCATGTGTGGCATGGTGCAACTGTGCGTCATGTCCGAGAGGAATGGTCTCCGCGGTGCTGGGCCCAAAGTAGGTCGATTGCCCAATTTGTTCTGTCTGTCATGGATGCCTCCCCCTCCGCCGTTTTCTCTCGGACTGCTCTCCGAGAAGCGGAGCGGAGGATGGTGGAGGAAAGGCGTGCAGCTTTGGAGAGTGGAAGGCGACCTAGGATCCAGCGTATCCTCTCCCGCTCCCTTTCCTCGAGCCTCTTTCCTGACCGCCTCCACCTCCTCTTCCTCCGTCGCCTCCATGCCTGGTTCCCGTCCCTGGAGCTCCCCGCCCCCCGAGACTTGGAAGCGAGGTGGGCGCTCCTGAGGACGATTCTCTCGCGCTCCCAGCCCTCGTGGGCGTGGGCTCATTTGAAGAGTCTTGCAGGTGGATGGATCACGTCAGCCAGAATGCCTGTCCTCGTGCGCAGGAGCTGTCGCTTAGGGTGCGAAGGATGTGTGGACTCCCTTCCTCACTACCTCTGCTGCCCTCGTCTTCTCCACCTTCTGTCTCGTCATCGCCCTCGTGCTTTTCTCCCGCCCTGCCCCATGGCGAGGATTGGGCTTGGAGACGAGGGGCAGTATGACCGTCTCTTCTCGAGGGCGGACGCTCACTGTTTGGTGGTCCTGGCCTTCCACTTCTACCATAAACTAAAAGCAGAACAGGATGCTGCGCCTGGCTCTGCTCGTGATCTCGAATATCATTTGAAGATTCTGAGAGGTGCCAGAATTGCAACGGGCGCCTGAGATGGAGGATTGCTTTCCGAGGCACGTGCGCTCCTCCTCTCCTCCTCCTCCTCTTCTCCTCCTCCTCCTCCTCCTCCTCCAGGCGGAGCAGTAGCGCGAAGAGGCGCCCGGGCGGGGGAAGGCCGCGGGCCAGTAGGTCGCCGCTCCGAGCGGCGAGAAGAAGGGCGCCAGGGGGCTCCACCTGATCCCCCAGAGGGGGGTTCACATGCGGTCCACCGGCCCATTTCGGCACACCCTTCACCTTCACACGCTTCGTAACCGCATATGGGGGCTACACCTGAGCCCTCAGAGGGGGGGGGTCGCATGCGGTCTCCAAGCCAATCTGGCACACCCCTCACACGCATCGTGGCCCAATGGGGAGCTCCACCGAAGACCCCAGTGGCAGCGCCCGCATGCGTCCCCGGGCTCATTTCGGCAAACCCCTCACACGCTTTGTAGTTCCATCGGGAGCTCTATCAAAGGCTCCAGTGGCAGCGCCCGCATGCATCCCTGGGCCCATTACGGCACATCCTTCAAACGTTTCATGGCCCCGCAGGGAGCTCCACCGAAGGCCCTACTGGCAGCGCCCGTGTGCGTCCCTGGGCCAATTTCGGCACACCCTTCACACGTTTAGCGGCCCATAGGGAATTCCACCGATCAGCTGCGAGCGAGGGAGGGGGGAGTGAGAAGGAGAAGGCCTCCTCAGAAGGCGGCGAAACTTCTCAGAAGGCCTCCGGCCTTCTGAGAGGTTCTGGGCGTCTTCGGGGAAGGCTTCTAGAACATTTGTCAGAAGGCCGTGGGACATCCAAGCCTTCTGAGAAGGCCCGCCCCTTTTCACTTCCCCCACGGACTCGCCGCCGAACCGAGGGCCCCAGTGGCAGGGCCCGCATGCGCCCCCAGTTCCATTTTGGCACAAACCTCACACGTCTTGATGCTACACAGGGGGCTCCACTGAAAACGAGATTCACAAGTGCGGTGTTCACAATTTCATATGTCTGGGTTCTTCGCCGGGATACTTGCTCGAAGAGACAACTGTTCGAAGAGATTTTCCTCGGATCCCCCATGTGCACTGGTCTTCTTCCGTTCTTGCTTCTGAAGATGCCTTCTTCGGGTTCCCAGGGTTCCTTGGTGTTGCTTCTGCCCAGCGATGCAAGGCAATACCAAACGCCAAGCAACTCAAAGCAATGCCATGCAAAGCAATGCCAAACGCCAAGAAATGCCACCAGCAGATGGTCCCTCACCGTTGGGAGTTCTCGGATCTGGAGGTGAAGTGGTGTTTCAAGAAGGGTGGGAAGAAGCAGTTCAGTAGATTATCCGATCACGCAATCATCACGGCGAGTTTCACTGACCCTGGGAATGTGATTGTTCGTCGCCCTGACCCCCAGCCTGGTCAGAAGTCTAGGCCGTCTCTGGTCGGATACAAGTGTTCGACTTGGGCTGATGAGCATCAGGCTCGACAGCATGTGGATTCGAATCTAGGCGGTGCTGCCTTCGCTCGTTCAAGGTGTCCGTCTGTGACCTGTCCACAGTGTCTGCAGAGTACTATGCTGGAGGCGTACTTATCGCCGACGGTGGACTACTCCACCACGGGTGCGAGAAGACCGAGAGAGCCGTCCAGGCCGGTGCAGCTCACAAGAGCTGAGGGGGAGGTTAAGATGTGTCCGAAGGAGGATGTGGAGAGGTTGAGGAGGTTAAAGAATGAGGCTAATCGTCTACGCAGAGGTTATCGACGTGATATGATTATGTGCAGATGCCCCCCAACAAAGCGAAAGGTCAGATATACTATCAAACATTTAGTGGTGGATGGGAGGGAGACGGAGGACCGTGAGGAGTGGAAGGAGGAGCTCGACAAGTTCGTTCGTTTCAAGGTGTCGTCCGAAGAGATACGCAATTCCACCAACAGTATGATGGAGGAGATCAGGATGAGGGCTGTGCATGAGGTACGATCCACATCAGTTGTGGGAATTAGTATGGCGCTGCTTCTCAGAGCACGTGCTCGGCTGAAGACCCAGAGGGCTACTGGGCCAGACGGGATACCGTGCGAGATTCTAAGGAGCTTGCCGTGGTGTGCTCTCAGAGCGATCCAGAAGTTGTTCGATAAAATCATCAAGCTCACGATTCCGTATCCTCAGTCGTGGCGTGAGATTCTCGTCTCTTTTATGCCAAAAACTCCAGGGATTACTAAGTTAAAAGACGGACGTTTGCTGTGTATGCAGAATGCTGTTTCGAGATGGTTCAGTTCCTGTATTGTTCTCCTGGTTGAGGGTCATATTGAAAGAAACGGAGTGTTTCGTCATATTGGGTTGTATGGTTTCCAGGAACATCGTCGTACACACGAAATCACGGCTAGCATCAAACACATAGGTCAACATGCTGCACAATGGGGAAAAGGGGAAACGGCACACTTGGCGAACGCTGATGTCCTCCAGGCGTTCGATCACTGCACGGTGGCCAATGTCAGGCGCGGGTTGGATCATGCGAGTGTACCCCTATACCTACAGTATGCTCTACTTAACCCCTTGTGCGAATGTGTAGGCACTGTCTATTATGATGGGATTGAGGTGGTGGAGGTAAGGTGGGACAAATGTATTCGGACGGGAGGGCCTGAGGGCCCGTTGGCTTTCAATCTTATTGTTGCTGCTATGTGGGGCTCCACGATTCGAGAATGGGACGTACTAGGACTAGGTTATCGTATTGAGTTTGCGACTGGCTCGACTAGCTGTGTTTCGATTATTCATCACTTCCTTTGGGCGGACAACTGTTATGTATTGGCTCGGAGTCGAGAGGAACTCACGCGCATGTTATACGGTCTAACTACACAGTTACATGACTATGGCATGAAATGGAAAGAATCCAGCCTATTGTACATGGTGTTCGGGGTCGAGCCTCCGCGAGATGTGGAAGGGGAAATACTATGCACTGCTGATCTTGTTCTCTCGATGGGGTCGGGGGAGTCTGGAGTGTATCGATTTAGAAGGACGACGGAGATGGATGTGCTTGGGGCTCATATTTGTTCTGAACTACATGTGAATGAACATCCAGATTTGGACGCTAGTATTGACTCTGCTCGCAGGGCCTTCTGGGGGCAGGCGACCTTCTTCCGCTCCACGGCCATCCCGTTGAAAGATAAATATGAGAGGTATGCTCAGAGAGTTCAGAGTATTGTGCTCTACGCGGCGGAAGGATGCACGGTCGATTCTAGTTCATTGAGTGCCCTTCATATCTTTGAGGGTAAGTGCCTGTCTGTAATGTCTCGTTGTATACGGAGGGAAGGGGAAAGTTATCAGGAATGGAATACGAGGAGGTATGAACGTGCGAGACAAAAAATTCATGATGCTCACTTTGCGGGTATTGTACAGAAGTTTCTCAGAGTGCATTGGATGTGGGCAATTGACATCCATGATTTTGCCCATAGGTTGATCACAGATCGGGAGGCGTTGGAGGCGAACTCGACGAGAGCTTGGAGAGATTCTCGTTTCTCATGTCTGGCGTTTGGCCGACTGTGGGATAGAATGAGGACAGATTCAAGCGAGGCTCTCAGATGTTGGGGGAATTGGAAGGAGGCCAGCTCAATGAAAAGACATCGGGGGGGACAGGAGAGTGTCGGACTTCGTCCGTGGTACTATTCATTGGAATCGTTTTACGGTTTATCCTGGTGGGATTTCTTTGCTGGAAGTTTTGAACATTTCATGGATTTCGCTGCTAATGTTTGTTCAAGTACTATGTTGAAGTACTTCCAAAAGAAGTGCAAAGGTTTGGCGTCCTCAGGGGTGCCTGTGTTCTTGAACTTGGATGAGGATGGAGGGGTTCATATTGGTCAGGATCGGGAGGATACACCAGCATATAGGGATCGTCTCAGCAAACGTATTGCGTTGCATAACATGCGTTGTACACAGTGGGACCTCGATGCGGACGGGATACCACTGGACATCCAGGGGGACTCACTGCTTGTAATTAACTGGCTCTGCGGGAAATGGAAAGTATTAGCTCAGGTATATCAGAAAAGGGTGGATACTCTGATTAGTAAGTTGGACGATATGCAGGATACTTACTCGGTGAGGCCTCCAGAGGCTGGCCGTGACTTCTTCTCTCATTCTTTTCGGGAATGGAACCAGAGAGCTGACTTACTGACCCATCAGGCCCGTCAGGGCCACGTGTGCGCCGATTTCGTTTACCTCAACGACTTTGAATCTCAGTGTTATATTCCTTGCCTTATCAAAGCCGGCTTTGATGGCGGAGTTTGTAGCCGCGGAAGTGCCTGTGGTGTATGGATACAGGTTGGTCTGCGAAACAAATATATCTTCTCGCGGACCGACATCATTTTCAAGGATGTGTATCTCGCGGCTTGGTGTCTGCCACCAAGCGCCACTGTTACAGATACGGAACTATCGGCGGCGGAGCGCATATGCGAGGTGCTCCCACAGGTTGTGCAGACCTTCTTTGATCATTCGCAGTGATATGCCACACATTGTTTCTTCTTTTCTGTGTCTTGTTTATTCCTGCAGCTTCGCTGTTCACTGACTCACTCGTTTATCTTTGTGTGCTTTGCGTTTGATTGTGTCATTGCGGCATGTGATTCTCTTTATTCCTTCAGCTTCGCTGTGTGGTATAAGAGCTGACTGCTTGCGTGATGAATAAGAGGCTCTGTTTCGCCTGATACTTTGTTGGACCTGGCCTCAGTGGCCAAGACGGTCCCAGCAAAGACGCAAAAAAACCTGACCTCAGAGTGACATTAAAAATTGGAAATGAAGATTTGAAGAAGATGTACTGCGAAGTTCTCTGCTTCGGTTCTGGGCACTCTTACGCGTGGAAGGAGCTCTACGAGGTTCCCGGCGGTGACCAGGTTGCCGCTGTCCCTCCTCGGGGATCTCAGCGGTGGCCTGGCCCGTCGGGGGCCTCCTCAAGCCTGTCTCCTCAGGCTGCCCCCTGGGCGGCCGTGTGCGCGCGGGCGGGCCGTGCGATGGCGGCTTGAGCACCTCTTGTCTCTGCAGTGGGTGGAGTCAGACTTGTTGTGTGAGTACCCCTTGCTGTGTGGTGCCATGACAACGCAATTTTGTACCTCGTCGACTTCTACTTTGCATGCC